GATCCCGGCCGCCTCAAAAGCAGCAGCCAGCACCACGAGTCCACAACACACCGACTCACCTCCGCGCACTCTGACCCCGGCCGACGTGGTGGACGGGCGGGCGCAGTGGCCAATCGCTGAGCCCGCCACCGGCTCCTTCGACCAATGGGGTGCAGGTGGGCGGGGCTTCTTCTCCCCAAATGTTAACTCTCCCGCCGACATGCGCGCTAAGGGATGTCAAGATGGAGATTCCCGGAGGTCGGCTTTATGGGACTTGTAGTTTTGAGGCGGCGAGCACTCATAAGACAGTGAAGGGGGGCCTCGTTTTCGACTGTGAAAGAAATTGAAAAACACACACGAAAAAACACAAAAACTTTCCAAGGCTTAGAGCGACCCAAGGTCCACTTTCGTTTTCCCAACTTAAACTATATTCTACAAGGTGAGTACAGGCTCATAAGGTGACGTTGTATTTAGGTGACAACTTCTCAGGATTTGTTCATTCCACAGGTCCTTAGCATTCACTCTCTGTGGTGGGCCGGGGGCGGAGGGAGAGCCGAGAAGAGGGATGTTTAGGCTAAGAAGAAAATGCTTAGTTTTTTTTTCTAAGATTTCTCGAGGGCCTTCCTAAGGAAGAGGGCAGTAACTCGCTCAGGTGGGCTCCAGAGGGAACTTACAGGTTAAAAGGATTCCGGCCGCAACAGTGAAGAGTTTCCATAGTCAGCCTCTGCCAGGCTCTTCCGTCAGCTGGAGAGAACGCTGGCCAAAGCCAGAGCTGTGTTTCTCCATCCGGGTTATGGCTGGCTCCCTGGGAGGTCAAGGGACCAGGTCTGAGCTGGGCGACCCCCGCCTGGACCAAGCCAGTGATGGCTTGACAGCCTCCCACACAGGCTTCAGTTACCAGGCCCTCTGTCTGCTGTCTGCATATTTTCACTAAGGAGAAATCATGTCATTTCTGGGCCCTGCCACCTCAGATCTGACCTTAACATAATGGTTGCCACTTGAGCCAGGAATACCTTTCTTTTTTATTTTTTTTAATGGGGATGTGCCCGCAACCAAGGTACATGCCCCTGACCGGAATCGAACCTGGGACCCTTCAGTCTGAAGGCTGACGCTCTATCCACTGAGCCCAACCGGTTAGGACTGGGAATACCTTTCTTAATCCCATGTAATGGCTTAGGTTATTCTGCTCTGCACCTATTCAATTCATCACATTGTTTTGTAATTGCCTATCTCCTTTTTGTCTCTCCCCCAGGACTGTAAACTCCCTTAAGGTAAGCATTATTTCCATATTGTTCGAGCTGTATCAGTAATATCCAGCACAGTGCCAGGCAAAAGCAGGCACTCAATAAATGTTTCTGGAAAAATGAGGTGAATAGACATCAGCAGGGATAGATGTCACTTAACTCTAGGTCAGTAAAGTGGAAGCACATCTGCCTATATTCCCTGATTCTTGGAGCTGGAATTGGGTCTTCCTCCTCCGTTAATGTCATCTAAATATTAATCCCAGTTGATCAGTAAGTCAACATACTAGTATATTTATAGGGCCTCTCCTAAGTTTCAGGCACTGTTTCTGTTGCTGAGGATTAATTGGTGAATAATACATATAAAACCTGTATCATCATGGAGCTTTTATATTGGAGAGGAGAAGGATGAGGAAAAACAGACAATAAATAAGTACGTAGATAAATAAAATTAGACAAATAAAAGGCCCTGAGATAGCCTCTCCTGTCTCTGGCTTTATTATATCCTGAGTCTGGCCTGAGAACAGGGCACAGCCAAGCTTCTTGTCTGTAAGAATGAAGTAAACCTGCACTATCTGGGTTGGAGACTCTCCTTAAAGCCCAGCACCAGTTTTCTCCATGGAACTTTCCATGGCCACCTTGATTTCCCCCAGAATGTGCTTTTTCCTCCTTTGTGCTCTAGAGCTCAATTGTTTAGCTTCTAGGACTTCAGCAGACAGTAAGCTCTTTTTAGACAAAGACCAGGCGACATACACTCAAATAATAGAACAGTTTAAAAACTCTCTCTACGCTTGGTGCCTTATATTGCCGCTAACCCAGCATTTGGCTCCATCAAGCCTTTGACACTGTTGTGATTTTCTCTGTTTTCTGGTTTTCTAGAAAGCAGAGCCTGAAGCGAAGCTTATGTGGTAAGACTTCATTAGGAAGTATAATCTCAGGGCAGCAAGAGCGAGAGGGAAAAGGGAAGTGAGGCAGGGAAGGAGGGAAAGAAAGTATAGGTAGTATAAAGTTGACCAGAGCTTCAAAGAAGACACAGGTAGTTGCCTTGTTATTCAGTCCATGTAGAACCATCACTTCTCAGACAGAGAGAGAGGGTTATATCATCCCACCACTCAGGTAGCCGCAGGGGGTGTCAGATCCCACACCCTAAAACACAGTGGTTCATCTGCAGCTAGAAATGGTGAGAGGAGTCATACACGGCCTCTGGTCAAATGAGCTTCATTGTAGTCCTACCACAGTGGGTACATTGGAGGCTCTGTCAAAACCTAATCCTCCTCCCAGAGGAGGCTAAGACAACCAGATGTGTTAGTAAATGAGTGACAGTAGTGGCAGCTGGCCTATCCAAAGAGTATGTGGCCAAGACCCAAGGTTGGGGGTGGAGACAGGGCAAGTGAATTTTTGGAGGCAGATGAGCTGAACCCAATACCCAGACATAGTTATACCCTGGGCAGCCTCTTGGCTGCTGGTTTAAGTGACTGAGCTAAAGTGAACACTGAGAACAGGGACCAAAAAGAGGACCAAGTTGGTTCTTCTACTGCCCTTTCAAACTACCAGGAAGAACAGCAAGATGACCATCAAAGCTGGGACCTTAATCACCAATCAAAGGGCAGAGAACCCAGGACCCAACGATAGCACATGGCAGCCCCAAAACTTGACACAGAGGGAGAACCCAAACTAGTTCTGAACCGTTCTTACCTGAGAACTGGAAAGAACGGCTTCTGCCATTCACAGCCTCTGTTAGCTACAAAAGACAGCATAGTGCAGGTACCATGAATGTAAACTCAGAGAGAGCCTGTTCAGGTTTGAGTCCTGGCTCAGTCTGTGACCTTAGGTGAGTCATATGCCTCTCTGAGGCTCAGTTTCTTCATCTATAGAGTAGAGATAATCCTAGTACCTACTTGTAGTTAGAATTCAATACAAAGGTGCTTAGCACAGTATCTGGAGGTCAGCAAATATTGGCTATTTCTGTTATTTTTGCCCCTCTCCCATCCCTCTCTCCAGTTCTTCCCACCATCACCCCACCTCCTCACCTCCCATCCTATTCCCACCGACTTCTCTGCTTCCCCAGGAGCAGTGAGGGCTGGACCTGGCCATGCCTTCTTCGCCCTGCTCTCCCCAGGGCTGTTCCCCATGAGCCTGAGCCATTCATCTCCCTAGTGACCTGAATCTGAACTAAGAGACGGATGTGGGGTGGCTGAGGCCAGGGTGGTAATGTGCTCCCTTATCTCTGTGCCCCTCACTAGGGCCTAGTTAATTTTCCCTTTGATTTTAATATAGATTTATTGAAAGTTTCAGTTATCAAAACAAACTGCAGCAGCAAATTGGTGTTCTTTGCAGGCCTACAAGTGCCTATAAAGCTGCCATGCTCGGGAACGAATGGCGCTCTCCAGGAGGTCAGTCATGGCAACAGGAAGTCCCTGGGGAAACACACACTGCAGTTTAATATTTTTCTTATTAGCCTTTTTCTTCTTGGCTATCTAAGCCTCCCCCTTTAAATCAGAAATCAAATGGAGCCACCTGCCAGGGAGGCTTTCTTCCCCAAGCTGCTTCACTCTCTGCCTTCTCTGTCCCCTCTCTAGTTCTCGCCTCCCAACTCTGATTCTTTGACTTCACGCTGCCTCACCCACTGCTCCAGAGAGAATTGTCATTCACATGCCCCAGCTCACAGCCCTTTCCCAACTGTGGAAGGTTGGCTTGGGCTGTCCAACCACTAGTCAGAG